GGCCATCTCCAGATACGAGATTTGCCTAGGGCATCAGGTCCTCTCTGGACTGCTGATTGCCAGGGGGACCACCTGGGGCTTCGCTCCAAGAAGCTCTAACCCCAATCCTTCAGCAGGCAAAAGCCAGCGCAGAGGCATTTTGTCACTACACGGCAGTCACTGCTGTGGACGTGGCAGAGAACCTCTTCCTTCTAACTGTGCAAACCCAAGGGCACTGTGGTGGAAATATATGAGGTCATATTGTTTCAGGGTTATCTCCCTTCATCTTCCCTTTGCTTGACATGAGAACACATAACCACTTCCACTGAATTGGGTAAAATATGCAGAGAATAACTCTGAGACCGTTAGATCAGTTAGCCATTCTGGTCAGAGTTCTCGAAGAACCCCTGACTTCTGTTGCTTGGGTATTCACTGTTGGAGAAAATCTCTTTTGAAAATGGTACTCAGAGATCTGCAACTGAGTGTTTGCAGAGTACGTGAGGGAAAAGGGAGAGAGCGCTGAGGTCGGGGCCAGAAGCTGTGCCTCTGATTCCTTGCCATGGAGTGGAAACTTCTTTGGTTGTTCCTGGGAATCTATGGAAGGGTCCACTTGGACCAAATTCAGGGGTGGTACCTTAGAGAGTACTACCAGTAAAAATAGCCTGGACATGGCCTTGCTGGTGTCTGAATCACAACATTGTGTGTGTGTGTGTGTGTGTGTGTGTGTGTGTGTGTGTGTGTGTGTGTAAGAGCATCTCTGGGGAGCTGATGGAAGGCAAGATGAGGCTCAGACTCCGGCTGTTAGCTTTGAAGAAGATTCTGGAAGTGAAAGTTTTAGATTTGGGGTTCTAGGGGAACATTGAGTTGGATTGTGTTTTGAAGTTAAAGAATATTATTAGAAGACGTATTAACATTGTAACAGACAGCCGCATGGCAGGCGGGGGGAGGGGGGAGAGGTATTTGGGGCCTTCTTAGAGGTTTCAGAGGAAGAGTGGGAGGCACATCGTGTGTTTTGATGGAAGTCCTTAACACATGCTCACAGTCAGGGATGACGGCCGGAAGGGCACAACCTAGAAACGCAAGTTACCTTTAATCCTAGAGACCAAATTACTATAGTTGGGAGAAGTGTCGATCACAATGATGACACTTTACAAAATGGCATGGCCCTGGCTAACAGAAAGCAATGCCATCTCTTCGTGCCCTCCCAAACATTTCACTCTGACTGCCTCCCCTCGCCCAACCCTCATTCCCGCTTCCTCGCCCCTCTCACCCCAGGTGTGGAAGACATCGTGGCTATAATGATTCCTGAGCCCAAAGGGAAGGAGATAGTAAGCCTGCTGGAAAGGAACGTCACCGTGACCATGTACATCACCATCGGGACCCGGAACTTGCAGAAATACGTGAGCCGCACGTCAGTTGTGTTTGTATCCATCTCCTTCATCGTCCTCATGACCATCTCCCTCGCGTGGCTGGTCTTTTACTACATCCAGAGGTTTCGCTACGCAAATGCCAGGGACAGGAATCAGGTGAGTCTCTCGTTAAGAAAAGCCTCGCTTTGTAAACTTAATGCCAGCAACACATATTATGGTATAAATTGTGCAACTCACAAATAGCAGGGTAGGATCAAAAACGTCTGCCGACTCCACCCCCAAAACGCTGCCCTTCTGCAGTGCAGTTCTTCAAAAGCCTCTCACCCTGCTGTATCCTGATGCTTTATTGATATTGCCATCTGCTGATGCTGATGATTGAGTCCACGCTCCCTCCCTTTGCTCATTTTTAAACAACCGTTTATTTAAGTAGACTGACAGGAGCCTAGCTTGTACTAAATAGTGACAACCTGACTCAGAAATAACCAGGATTGTCTCCTTGGGAACAGAAGGGAGGATGAGAATTTTGTTTTTAAAATAAAACTGTTTTTTTTTAAGTAGTTCATTTTTGAACATATATATAGTATAATATGTGAATGGTATGCAATGAAAAAATCGCCTTCCATATGAGTCCATAGAGGATCTTTTAGGGATATTTTATGCATGTCTCGATGCATATGCTTCTATATATAATCACACTTTTTAAAAACAGAATGAGAGCATCTTTAACTCTGCCCCTTTCTCTCTCTTCATCGTGGAGATTAATTCATCCCAATACGAAATCCAAGAGCCTTCTCGTTTCTCATGAGTGCCCAGCATGGCACTGCTTTCATCATCAGATTCATTCAACCAGTTCCCATTAATGGGCATGCTTTTTCTTTCAAACAACACATACACATGCAATACTTAGAGCATATTTTAGCGTATCTATAAGGTCAATCCTGGAAGCCTAATTGCTAAGACAATAGAATATGTATTTAAACTACGATGACTGCAAAGTTGTCTTCCAAAATAACATTGTCGAGCCAATTTCTATTTCAACCAACAATATTTAAAAAGTATTGTTGGGGAGAGCCATTTGGCTCGGCAGGCAAAGGTGCATGACTTCAATCCTGATAACATGAGTTTAAGCTCCAGAACCCACAGACTAGAAGGAGAGAAATGACTCCCACAAAGCAGGGCATCCCCCTGCACCTCTTGGAAGAAGCACAAGCATATGTACATACATGTATACAGACACACAGATGGACAGACACACACTCAGAGACACACATACACAAATACATGTTTTTTTTTTTAAAGTAGCTTTCCATATCCTTACCGAATGTTGCAGCTTTTTATTGATTTGATGAATAGAATCGCTCTTTTCTTGGTTTGTTGCCGTGGTGCTGGGCGTTGAACCCCTGGACTTGTACATGCTAAGCCACAGCCCGCCACCATGCTACATGCCCAGCTATAACGTTTTAAACTATAAGTAATGCTAACCATGTGTCCAAGCACAGTATAAAATACGGGTCCCTGTTACAAACCTCCTTCTGCCATCTGATGGTCTTTTCAGTTGAGTAGTTGGATACTTTCCTATTAGTGTGTATCAGGTGTTTATTGGTCAAGGAAATTAGCCATTGTTGTTTTTAGAATATGGGGCTACATAATGGGGCTTCCCATTATCTTTGCCTGTATCTGTGGTTCTTGAAGCGTGAAGATGTGTCGCTGTGACCAAGTAGCTGAAATCTATCCAGTCTTGAATAAACCACTAAAGCTTGTGTAACCAGATCTTTTCTCTGAGCCAAAACTTTAGAAAAAAAATTCTCTCTCTTTTCCTCCACCTCATTTTGATTTGCCTTTTGTAGCTACATCTTACAGAACTTTTTTTTATGAAGAATGAAGCAGAGGTGCAAAATTTTTTATGAAGACCTGCCATTTTTATAACTGGCACGTGCTGAACAATGAACTCCCCGCCCCTTGTACAGCAGCCTCCTTTAGCAATACGAGATACCCCGTGAGAGGCACTCATTCCGCTTCAATGCTCTCTGATCCATTCCCTCCGTCTGCCTGTGCTCAGTACCGCATTCTCCCAAGAACGACAGAATTACCACACACCTCCCATCTGTGGATCCCCGTGCTCCCCCCCAGTGTCGTATTGCTCCAGTACCGTGTTCTCCCGAGAACTACGGAATGACAACACCCCTCCCATCTGTTTCCGTTGGTCTCCTCTGTCGTGTTAATCTTTACTACGTTTGTGCTTAAGAGTGTGGATTCCATGCCAACTTTCAAAGCTATAGGATAATGCCGGCTAAGTTTATAACTGGGATGTTGAGCCTCCTAAGCACAGTTTATGTTTTTGCTCTTTCTTGACTCTTTAGTCTCCGGTAGCACTGTTAAAAGCTGTCAGTCTGACAGTTTTCTTATGCTTGTTCCCAGTTATTTAATCATTGTGTGTTGGCTTAGTTGTTTCTAACTTTAAACATCCTGCTTCATTTCACTGGCATGCATGCCCAATAACCCCTCTGAATAACATAAAATGATTAATAGATGTTAATCTCCCATCCTATAGTATACATGGGCAGCCCGTATATGGTGGTTCTGTTGAACCTGTCCATTTGGGTTTCATGGTCTAAGTTGATGAGAAAAACTGACCAGGTCTCTTCCTCAAGAGGGCACCAGATCTCATTACAGATGGTTGTAAGCCACCATGTGGTTGCTAGGAATTGAACTCAGGACCTTTGGTAGAGCAGGCAATGCTCTTAACTCCTGAGCCATCTCTCCAGCCCTATGTTAGGGAATGGTCTCAATTTAATGAGAATTTTAAGATAAATTCCATCATATTATTTTCATTCAGTTTTATAGGTTGAGATATTTTCTCATGCTACAAAAGATGTAATTTTGCAAACGTCAACTTTACTGAGTTTTTTTTAAATTAAGAATGAATATTTAATTTTTCAGTGGTGACTTTTGATAGCAGTTCCCAGTGAGTGGCATCTGTTATTATAGTCATGGTGGTAACTGGATGATTACACATGAATCCAATTCTGTGTCCTCTCTAAATGTTCTGCAGTAGTAGTGCATATAAAACCAGTTAGTCTCAAGGTGGTGAGTGTGGCATGTGTCCAGCTGACTCCTATAGAGTTCTGTATGAAATATGTATTTTGTACATTATTATTATATATAATATATACATTATATAATATATATTATATAATATGTATTATATAATATATATTATTATGTACATTGGTTATTAAAAAGATAGTCATCAGCCAACCCGACAGTCATAAATAAAAATATGTGGTTTTTCTGCTCTTGGAGAATCTCAGCAGCCATTTAGTGCTTAAGGCGAGAATGAAATTGTTAGTTGTGAACTAGCTAGACCTTCAATTAGTTGCATAGTCATTTTGGTCACTCTGCTTTCTGCAGGTGGACAGGGCTTGCAAGTCCATTTAGGCGCGCACATGCTCGGTGAGACGTTTATTAACTTTCCTGGAATTACAGTGTGTTATCCCCAAGGTCACTCAGCGATGGGACCGTGTTAAAAGTTAGCCCTGTATCCAGATCAATGTGGACCCTAGATTTTTAGCCCCTTTGAAAGAATGGAATAAGAACTTGGGACAAAACGTCTTTTGATAGCCAGTGTTCCAGTCTGTGCAACAGACCAGGACAGCTGTGCAGCATCTCCAGAATAAGCAGCGGGTTGACTTGAATTGTTTCTTTTTATTAAAGTGTCACTGACCTTCAGAAAGAGTGAGCCTTCAGGTTGTCGTTGTCTTCTTCTTCTTCTTCTTCTTCTTCTTCTTCTTCTTCTTCTTCTTCTTCTTCTTCTTCTTCTTCTCCTCCTCCTCCTCCTCCTCCTCCTCCTCTTCTTCTTCCTCCTCCACCTCCTCCTCCTCCTCCTCCTCTTCTTCTTCTTCTTCTTCTTCTTCTTTCTTCTGTTTTTTTTTTTTTTCAGATAGATTTTCTCTGTAGCTTTGGAGCCTGTCCTGGAACTAGCTCTTGTAGACCAAGCTGTCCTCAAACTCACTGAGATCAGCCTACTTCTGCATCCCGACTGCTGGGGTTAAAAGTGTGCACCACCATTACCCAGTGCCTTCAGGTCTTTGTAGGACCTCAGTCTGGGCTAAGGCAGGAGAGGCGTTCATCTCATGTCGGGATGTGTTCTGCTGGAGAGTATCTGAAGGAGGCCCAAGCTTGAATTAGCCTGTCCTGGATGTCCACCTGGCTTCCTGTGGCTCATAGTCTTAAAACTTTCCCCAGCTTCTTACATGATACGGATGCTTCCCATGCTGTCCTGAGATGGTCAGGTCAGTGCAGCTGCCCTTGGGGTGAGATCCCTGGGTGTTGGCAGTGAGTCTTTGACACGGAGACACAGAGCAAGGACTGCAGCTGAGAGTGGAGACCAAACTCGACTGCTGTGCCGTGCTTCCTAAAATACAGTGGCAGTTAAAGGTGCCAGTCTGGGAATCAGGGCCAGTGTGGGTCAAACATTTGATGAGACCGAGAGGCATGGACTTACATGAGCCGTTTCTCCTACCCAGGCCCAGAGGCCCAGATCGCCTCAAATATAAGGTCAGAGTGATACCATGCCAGACCTGGAGTTGTGTGGGAGGATCAAACAAGAAATGTTTAGCATTATCAGAAGAATGTCAATAGAATCACTCTAACAGGCGAAGCAAGGAGCTCTTAGAAAATAGTATTTAAATGTACATAGTTCATTTCATATGTGTGTGTATATAGACATGAGGATTTTAGTTCTTATGACACAGTTTGAAACAAAACAGGATCATCTTTCTGACTCTCCTCTAGAATTATAGAAAAATGAGGCTTATAAATATAATATCCAGTTAGCCGTGGTCATGCACACACATCGCCTCGAAGCAAAGCACACACCAACGCCCCATCTCAAACAAAAATAAACTTTTAAGAATTTCACTATAGAGGAAAAATATAGTTTTCTTAGAGACTTGTATTCCATGAAGCACTCTTTAAAAAAAATCAATCAAAAATAAAAATACAGTAACAATGAAACAGAAGTTCTGCCTTTCAGAGCAAGAGTCCTTCCCACACCGAACTCCCTAGCAATTATCTCCCAGGCTTCCAGGGAAGGAAGAACACTGACCACATCCTGTGTGTGCTTTGTAAATGCCTCTGAGTGTATAAATAGTTTT